AATTTTGATATAATAAATTTAATTTTTTTTATTAAAAAAATTTTTTATTGTATAATAAAAAGTATTCACAATAATATGGGCACCCTCTATATATACTGATATTTATATTGCTTTTAACAATATATAGTATATTATTATAGTTTATTAGCAAATTCATTTCTAATTAATTATATAGTTGTGATTTGAATAAGATATAAGGCATATAAGATTCGATTAAGACTTAATTTAAACTTATTTTCTTTTGAGAATTTATATTTTTTGCCATATACAGTGTAATAGGCAAATAATGAGTCTGTCACTAATGCTAACAAAGTTTTGCATAACCATTACTGATAATTAAAAACAGACAGGTAAGTAAAATGATATGTTAGATTTAACTAAGTTCTTCTTCTTATATTTGTCTCTCTTCTTTTATTATTCTTAATATTTAAATTTTATATATTTTTCAATAATTACAATAAAGTGAATTAAATATATCAATATAAAACAATGATTGCACAATAACATCTACAATATTATGTCACTGCTTATGATAGATCGAACATGTGACTAACGGCTATATTATTGTCAGTTTTATGGTATAAGGTCTCTTATACCTTCTATTGTGCCATTTACATTGCCTATAGCCACATATCGTGATACCTGATGTACAGTAGGTATACATATATAGTCGCAGTTATAAGTATCTGTATTATCTCCATTTATATAAGAATAAAGCAATCAAAAAAATTTTTTTTTATTTTGAATTATAAAACTAACTATAAATTCTAATACATCATATAGTCACCATTGAACTCTACTAGCACTACAACCTGACGTTTTATACTATCCACTAATCTTATAGCAAACTTGAGTAAGAGACGATTCTACTCCTCCACTATATTTTTTACTAATTCGTTAACTGATGTCATTTTTTTTTTGATATGTTTAACTTTAATACATGCCATACATTCTCAATAGCATTTTGGTTCAGAAACATCGATGGCCAGGAAAGTATGTTTATATCTTTTTCTTTCTTCCAGATTTTTGCGATTTTCGAGTAATACTTAGGATCATTATCCTCTTACAAAAACCAGTCTAAATTATTTTTGCCAAAATACTTGGAGACAAAGATCAGGAGACCCTGTTCGTAGATTCTACATATAAAACATGCATCAAGATTCTGTATAAAGCATATCAGCTTGCCAAACCTGAAGAACAAAAAACACCCCATACATAAACTTTTTATGAATGCTTAACTGTATAGTTAATTTTTTTTTTCTGAATTGCCAGACTTTTTTTTTTGTATGAAATAATTGAAACATGCTCTCATCAATGAAAATAATCTGTTTCCAATCAAAATTCTGATATTTTCTTGCTTACAGTAGCTGTTATTTTTTGTGATTCTCAGAAAATAAAGGTTTTGAAATTTTAGCAACATATTTTTCTCCAGCCTCTCAAAGATACCATTTAATTGTATTTTCACTAACACTTATATTTAAGGCTTTTATTTTCTATTGGATTTAGATACTTGTTATGTTATGTTTCGTCTTTGCCATTTTCACAATTCACTCATCTTACTTTCGATAATGCTGCATCACCGGCCAAGCTTTTTTTGGTCACTTAGGTTATTAAAGATCTTCCATCTCTAAACCCAAAATGATACTGCTGATTTGATGCAACCAATATAGGTCGCTATTTACTTATAACTCCAGTGTGGTTCATGAAGATGTTTGTAAAGAAAAACAATCTCAAAGTGATGGTGAAGGGAAAGAAACGGCATGATGTTCATTGATCATCCAATCCCTGCTAGAAATGTTATACAGACTTGCAGTTACACGGACTTCTAAAATTAGTAATGCTTTTGAATTCTGTAAACTTTAAAAAGGTGTTACAAAGTAAATAAAAAATATTTGGTGGTACAGATACTTATGACCGCGACTGTATATCACTTTTTATTTACCCCTTACACAGTATATTGGTTGAAAACCAAAACGTATTCGTTCTTATATTAGCTAATCAAGGGGAGGAAGGATCGCGAACTTGAGTGTCGTCGGTCACGTGAATACTGTTGCATCCCGACCAACCCTCTTTCAATATGCACGTACAGTACATTATAACATATAATATGATTATTCCTAGATTTCTTCGACTTCAAACCAAGCCACCGTATTTGTAAAGTTATGATAAATGATTATTAATGATTATTATAAAACTTATGAATCACACAGTTCCATTTGTATATTAAATAATTGTAATAATTTTTAAGAACTTATAAAATTGTACATTAATTCATTGTTGACTGACAATAATATAATTTTTTTTTTGCAAAATGGAATAAATGTTTATTTGAGTTCTGTAATAATTACAAACGATACCCGACAAGCAAATGAAAGCAATTCACTAGGTCTTTTTCAGAGACAAAAGCAAATTTTCTAAATTACTTAGTCTCTCCGCAAATCCATTTTCGATTGCATTAAGTCTCTGAACAATTCCACCTTCCAGATTATGCATCATTCTTTCATGTGAAGACTTCTCTACACCAAGATATCCATCGAATTTCAGATCAGTTACTTCGGCGACGCTTCCTTCTAAAGTATTTACATCTCCATTATAAATATTTACATATGGTGAGGATGAACGTGTAATTTCTCGAGGTCCCGTAATGCTAAGTGAAGGAAGAGATAATTTTGAGGATTTATCTTCTTCATCAAATAACTCGATATACGTGTCACATTTAGGTTCCGAATTAGGTAACTTGTCATCAAATTCCGAATCAAAATTATTATCTTCTTCATCGAAACGACCTCCATCGTTAGTTTTCTTATCCTTAGCAATATCGGAGAGCCAGCTATTCACAAGATTGGGATTTGGAATATAATAGATATAACGTGGATTTCGGAGTTTGTGGCAAAGAGGTTTTTCCAGAGTCTCATATTCGAATATAAGGTCGGCACGGAAATTTTGAACTGCGTTGCGACCATGTTCGTTGGCTGAATCGAATGCACCGCTAAAGAAAAAAAAAGGGACATATGTTTTTTAGTTAATGGTAATCTTATATAAAAAAAACCAATAGTAACGGAACGGAGGCAAGCATACTTCATAAATGCGATTAACATATTTTGAAAGATAAGCACTAATACCAAACTTCCCAAAATGGTCATCACATCAAGTGCATAATTATCCCATTGATTAATTTGATCCCAACGCCCATTAGTCCAAAAGAAAACTGCTTCGACTGAGGAAAAGAAGAATGAATAGTAATTGTCGAGTCTGGAATTCTGATCAACTTGATGTTGAATTTGATAGTCGGGAAAGAGGTTATTGGTTACGTTATTTGGGTCGACAATAGAGTAGGAATCAATTCTGAACGAGGATGGGTCCGCTTTGTGTAATAAAACAAACCTGATAAAAAATATTAACATTAGTCATCGATGTTAAAACAATTCGTAAACTTCAAGTTTATGATATTTACATTGCATGTCCAAATCCAATCACTACAATTAACATAAATGCAAAGAAAGGCCAGATGGAATTTAAGATGTGGATAATGATGTAAATGTAGTGTCCTACATATTTAAAATATCTCATCAATAGTAACTAATATAATACAAATAGAATAGTAGATTAGACATTGCAGGATAAAATAATGCGTCACGTGAAATTGACAAATATACAAACCAATTGCATCCACATGATCAATACCGTAAATGCCAAACTAATCTGAAAAGGTTCCGCTGCAACATTAATTAACCCTTCTTTAATGGCGACCACTGTTAAGGGAGCAAGCACTGATACCAAATCGAAAATATTGTAGAGGTTAATATGTTTAACCAATCCCATGCGCTTTATTTGGACAGCTTCCGTGGCCAACAAGTAATATCCGAAGTAGATCATAAAGACCAATGCCATCGAAGAAAGAATGTTCGTGTGTGGGAGTTTATTGTAAATATCTTGTATCGGAGCATCGACAATGTAGGATATTGATCTGATGATGAATGAAATCGAAAATAAAATATAAATGGTCACTTGACGAGCAAAATACTTTCTTGCATCTGTCCATTTAAAATCTGTCACTGCATTCATAGATGGAACACTGTAAAAATCGGGATCCTTTTCGTGGTCTATCACGTGTAAAAACGAACTATATTTTTCTTCGTCGGAGATTACGCGCAATCGTGGCCAGAAGAGTATCCTCAAGAGTTGTAATGGTAACCGTCTTTTATCGTTGTTATAATCAGGTGAACAATAAGGGTGAACGGTAGATTCGGGAAGAACGGTAAAGTCTGGAAGGGGAACCATGTAGACTTTTCGATCACTAAAAATCCTGTCATCTTTTGCGGGGTTATCGAAAACAATTTCTTCCTGAGTTCTGCATTTTTTAAATAATTCTATTATTTTCTTGTATGTAAATAGTTAAGCTCCTCCCCGAAATTATAAATCACCTTCCAAAAATTCCACAGAAAGCCTTAGTAAGACAATTCATGATTTTGGGTTCGGATTTACGCGCAAGCCCTGGCCTCACGTTGATGACATGTACAGATTCGGCGTTATTTCCGGCTTTTTGATCCTCTTCGCTAATATGAAGGGGTGGCATATATGCCTCGGTGGTTCCAAAACAAGGTTTCTTAAATATCTTCAATACAAGGTCGCCTAAAAATTATTGAAGTTAGGTTAATTAAAATAGCAACCATATGTAACATTGACCTAATTGAATTTACTTACCTAAATTATGCTTATATAAGTATGGAATTGCACTAGTGACAGTAAACATCCATCCAGGATTATTAAAATCACCAGCATTATCTGTATAATATTCTAAAAGGAGCTCTACAATCGCCGCAGAATTGGCACTCTCAATGGCACATTGCAAATCCGTTAAAGTAGATTTATTTTGTTTCAATTTCGAATCAATCGAATCACCATAAGTTTCTTGAGGTGACTCTAACCATTCGTATAACCTTGGGATGTGTATGCAACTATTTTTTCCACTAATATTTTCAGATAAAATCCTTTGTATTAATGATTCTTGGCGAGCCTGGATAAGATCTTTTGTGATGTTGTACCGAATATCGGTCAAACGAAAAAGGCTGTGCTTTTTAATAAATCTTCTTATCAGTTGTTGCGTGTGGTCGATTAGATATTCGCATCTGTTTGCATTTTTGTTTCCGATTATAAACTCCTTTTTATTGACTAGAAAGTGTAAGCTTTGACAGGCGTTCCTTAATGTATTTTCGTTACTTGGCCAATGAATGGTACGCGACTCAAAGATGCTGCTCCTCTCCGAAGAGGGAATAGATAATGTCAGCACAAACTCGTAATGACCAATTTGAAGCTGTCTAATATGCATTCTTGAGCTTCCGATGCTTTCCTTTGCCCAAATAAATTCAAGAGTTCTTTGAGGTGTACCATATTTATCTTTGCGTATTTTCCATACTTGAACTGTATTGGGACCGACTATAAGTTGGGTCTGCTTGGATTCGTCAAGATAGGAAAATAAACGATTATATTGTTTGTTAGGATGCCAAGGTTCGATGTCATTAATGATTGCTTTCTGTTCTACAACAGATGTTTCCTCGATTCTTTCTCCGTTGAGCAAAAACACAGGATGAGCGTCTTCGTGAGTTGGAAGGTTAATATTGACGAGTTGTGAAGATGGTGTGTCATTCAGTATGGCCACAATGCCTGGATGTTCAAGCAGCGAAAAAATTCCTCCCCAGTTCGTTACTGCCAAAATTTTCCCACGTGAGTTTATGAGTCGATGGGCGGAATCAGCATTTAAAGGGTAATCTTGTGTTTCCGAGTAACTAGCTTGCCGGACGGCCTTCCTTGAGGTGCTGAAGAGATCCCAAACAACAAAAACATAATTATTCTCTCTTTTCTCAAATTCACTTTCGTTTTCAAGAATAATTAACAATTTGTTGTCATTTTCAATAAAATCAATTGATATGATTCTATTAAAATATTGTCCATCTAATTCTTTGGTGGCAACCTCTAGCCCGTTTTCCATCATATAGATAGTAACAGCGTTTGTTCCACGACAGAATGCTAACATTAATTCATTTTGAGAGATTGCGAAAATTGGTTTTCCTCTGGGGACGGCAGGAAGATAAGATGGTTCACGTCTTTGGAACACCATTTCTAGTTCCCCCGTGATCAAACTATACATCTCCACAGCATGACAATGATCCTTATAGCCGCTGATCAAAAAATGATTCTTTATGATACTCGTTTGTAATAACATCAATCCGCTCTCCCATCTCTCCGACGATAAAAGGCTGACTGAAAGTTGTTTTGGTAAAAAGAATTGTTCTATCGAATTGGTTTCATTTTGAAAGATGGAGCTTGGTGTGAAAAAAGGATCGTTAACAGTTTGTGCTTTACACTTAATGCTTGTTTTATATATTCCGGAAGCATTTACTGCGACAATTAGCGCTTGACCAGATATTTCCATATCACTTTCTAAAAATCTGACTACACCGCCAACATTTTGAAATGAACTGATAATTTCGGTTTTACTAGATTCCAAAATGATCCAAGTCCTAGGCGCAATGTGTGTTGTTCCTATCTCCTCATCAACCTGTGATGATTTGGTGCGGTTTTCATGCCATATATCTCGTGAATCAAATCGGGACAAAGCTATCAGGCGATCACTATCATCAATGCAGTTAGAAATAGCTAGAGACCAACCAATTGTTTGATTTGAATTTTCGTTTTTTCCAATATCGTAGCCGAACTTTATTAAGTGTTGGGTCAGATTGTCGTCATTGTATATTTCAAACTCACTTTTTTCTATGTAAAACCGTTAATTTGCGTGAGTTTCAAGGACGCCTTTAAATTCACCTGAATTACTATATCCCTTACCTGGATTGAATGTGACGATTTTTTTACCGTCCGGACTTATTGCCACGTGACGCGTGAATGAATAGAGCGACTGGTAATTTCGTCCCAAAGGACTAGCAATGGGTGGACAATTCGCTCTTGTATTCATGTGTGAGTAGAAATAACTTTTGACAGGTTAAGTTTCTTAATACCAGATTATGAAACTATCAAAAAATAAATAAATAAGTGTCTAGGAAATATCTGGTCTATGAGTTAAAGAAAAATGAAAACCGGGTTGTTGTCGTAGAACTAAAAACCAAGCTAAGATACATTCTTTATAAGAGTTTTTCACCTAATTCATTCCTTATTTGTGCAAAATTTTAATATTATTGCTCCAAAAACCAGAACATTGTATTTTGGAAATGGTACTACTCTGATATCCTGTTAAAAGGAAAACACAAAGGATGATCAAACAAGGTAAAAAAAAATTATCAACCAAGGATAATGTTAATCGCTTAAAGTCCCAAATATTTTCTGGTATGCGAAAGTTCCTATTTGTCGGATAATTTCATGCGTATTGAGAAAAATCCCTTTTTGGTGAATTCCTTGTACGTACTGAGTTCTTATTATGGAAACACAAGCATTAAATTTAGCCGCACTTTCTAAATTAGGATTGAATGTAAAAAATATATTCTTTGAAAAACACAATCTTACAAAGGCTGTGGTTTTCTGAATATGGAAATTAGAAATCGTTATGTATTTTTAGTTTAATTAAATGATTTTTTTTTTTTTGCAAATGAGCATTAAATGCGCGATTTTTATTTAAACTTAGGTTTATAATCAGTACGTTAACAATCTTTACATGAGAGTAAATTAATAAAATAATTTTTTTAAAAAAATCTTTTTTACTATTGTATTACCAATAACTGTTTTTAATTAACAAAATATTAATAAACGTCTTAAGAATAAATTTTTTTATTAATAACCTATAAACAACTGTTTTTATTAATACAATATATAGTGTGTTATAAAATATTTTGAAATTTTTTTATTTATTCTTTACTTAAAATTACTATATAAAAATTAATAAAATATATTAAAATAAAACTTATAATTTTGAGATTATTTATATATAATTAATTTTTAATTTTTTTATTATTACTGTATTTTTTATTATAATTTATATATTTTTCTTTCATTAGGCTTATCCCTTAAACTGTATTGTTGGCAAATTTATCTACAATTTGAATTCACTAACAAAATTGCTTTATATCTCCTGATGCACATTATTCTTTAATTGTGCATTATTTCATTATGTATTTTAGCTCATTTAAATCTTCAGAACAAGGTTAATCTTTTTTCTTAATGGTCAAAGTACAAATAACATAATAATATTTTTCTAAAAAATGTATTACAAAAATAAGTATCAAATTTGTCAAAAATTAGTTTATAGATTAAGAAATAAAATTAATTATAATTCTATTTGAAATTTTTTTTTATTTTTTTTTATTATAATTGTTTTTATTTTGAAAATTTTGAAATAATTTCATTTTTATATTTTTTAACAATTGATTAAATATTTTTAATATAATTTAAATCTGAATTATTAAAAGTTAATCTATAATTTTTTAAAAAATTTTATTTATTTATTTTAATAATTTTATTAATATACTTAGAATTATTATTTTTTAAAAAATATTAATTGTTTTTAAAATAATTTTTATTTTTTTGTTTACAAAATTTTAATATAAAATTTTATATTTATAATTTTTTTTAAAAAATTTTTTTTCTAAATAAAAAATTTTAAATATTCTTTTTATTAATTTTATAATTTTATATTATTATATAATATTTCTAAATAATTAAAGTATTATTTTAAATATTCTTTTTATTAATTTTATAATTTTATATTATTATATAATATTTCTAAATAATTAAAGTACAGAGGATGGACAAAAGTTTATGGACAACTTTTTTTTTTTTTTAAATAAAATTTAATTTAAAAACTAATTTAACT